AAAATATTCAGATATAAAAAAAAAATAATATTCAGATATAATCCCCTTTGTAATAGTTAACAATACAGTTAACATTTAAGTAACTGTAATTTAATTGAACTTTTTTTAACTAGTTACTCCCCAACACTGTTGGCCACAAAGGTTATCAGTCAAATGACCAGAAAAATTCCGTGAATCTGTACGCATGCTAGTCATTTTTATGACGTAAAGTGAAACTAAAACTCACCCTATCGCTGTCAGTCACATGCCTTACTCGAATGACGTCATCCAATCACTTCCCGTCACAGTGAAAAAAATACGGAAGTGATCTAGGTTGCAGGAAAAGTTTCCCATAAGATTCATTTTTAAGTCGTTTCTATTCCTTGCAAGTGCGATCATAAAGTATGGCGTATCCAGGATATAACAATGTAAGTATCACTTACATTTCTATGTTCAATTACAGTTTTTAAAATGTGAAAAAAAGATAACTAGCCTAAAGAGAAACTGGTTGAGAAATGTGGATAGCATGTATTACGCCCTAAATAGTTTCACCAAATAAATAGCATTTTCTTTAATGTGAATTAGGCATAAGCTATAACATGCGGGAAGTCATTCTTCAGCCCAGTTTCAGAAATTAACTTTGTACCTACAGGGCAATATTTGCCCGCTGGAATTGGTTTACAAGGGCATTTTTACCGTCATAAAGACTTTCTAAAGATACAATACAATACATAAACCATAACATTACAAAAATACGCATTTTTTCTAGTGAAACAAATAAACATTCCTAAAACAATTTTACTTAAGAATTAATAAAAGAAATTTAAAAAAATCCCCTCAGAGAAAATATATTGAATATATATATATATATATATATATATATGTGTGTGTGTGTGTGTGTGTGTGTGTGTGTATGGTTGTACATACACATATGTAGTTGTTTTTTTGGTGTTTGGCTTAGCGTTATGTTAGAATCATTATTATACTCTTATACCTTTTGTTCTTTGTGTTTAGCTTTATTTTTTGTTTTTCATTTAAATGTTAAGTTTTGAAATTTAGTTGTATGCATTTGTCATTTTTATTTAATCTCTTTATTTTTAAAATGTGTATAGGTAGTATTTATAAAGTTTTAGCTTTTAGATTTGGATCTGTTTTTAGTTGTTTTAATACTACAATTACAAATCAGGGGTGGGCAAACTTGGCCCTTCCAGGCCACTTTCCTTCAGAGTTTAGCGCCAACCCTAATCAAACACACCTGAACCAGCTAATCATTGTCTTCAAGACTACTAGAAG